TCTCTCAGTACATCTGATCCTTCTAATCTCCTTCCTGTCTATATAAACGCTACACCCGCCCCCCCCTTTTTCTGTTCATGCACCACCTCCTCTCCTCTTTACTCACCACCTGGTTTTCTCTTCACTCTCCACCATCCATTCTTGCTCTCCTGACAAACATTTTTTAGAAAATCAAGAAAAATGAAAAATAAAATAAAATAAAATAAAAATAAAAATAAAAACAAAAATAAAATAAAATAAAAATAATAAAAATAAGAATAAAAACAAAATTAACAATGATGACTATTACCGCAATAATAAAAATAAGAATACCAATAAAAATAACAAAAACAATAATTATAATAAGAATAAAAATAAAAATGATAATCATAATAATAAAATTAATAATAATAACTATTACAGCAATAATAAGAATAAAAATAAAAATAAAAATAATAACAATACTACTACTAATAATATTAATAATAAAGGAGGAAAATAAGAAAGAAAAATCAAAAACAAAGAGGATATGAAAATACTATCAAGTAAGTTCAACCTGTTAAGTAATATAAGATTAAGGTAACAATTTACTAATATACTTGACTATATAATCAATGGCTATTATGATATAATAAAATCTCTATTACATAATCTTCAACTGATTTATGAATTGAAACTATCTGAATATACCCTCAAGGTCGTGAGAAGGTAGCTAATCAGAATTCAAGTTGACTAACTTGAGTAATTCTGGGTGTCTTAGACAGAACAGCAAGGAAAATTAAAAAAATTTCAGAATAAGATAATCTGGAAGTTAGTAATAGTAAGTTGACCCCAGCGTCTAATAAACTTAATGCTAAGGGTACCAACAACCTAATAAGAATTAGGACAAAATAACTATACTCAGTAGTAGATTATATTTGGTTTTTGAGTTGGGAAGGGAATTGAACCGCATAGCCTTTTAACAGGAAAGTCCTGGAGATCTTGAAAAGAGCTACTAATCAGAATCCAAGTTTACTAATTTGACTAACTTGAAAAATCCTTAGTATCCTAGGCAGGGCTGCTATGAAAATTATAAATATATGAGAATGACATAATCTGAATGTTAGCAAGGATAGGTTAGCCCTACCCTTTTATAACCCTAATAGTAATAGGACCAACAACTTAATAGCAACAAGAATAAGACAATACATACTTTGGTATAAATAATATCTACTTCATTAATTTTTAAACAAAATTGAAATCAGTTACTGCTTAATGGAGATGTTATTAAGGTTATGAGAAGAGCAACAATTAAAATTGTTAAGATCTATGAATATGGTAAGTCCTACCATATAAGCTACTCAATATTAATATAATCAATAACCTAATAACAGACTCACTAAAACTATCAATTTAATAGCTAATTCAATATTTGTATTATAGTTTTCAAGTATTAGTATAATTCAAATACTACTAAAATATATGTCTCCTCAAGGTCTGAAGAAGGGCAGCTTTTAAATGTATTAAGGTTCTTGAATATATTACTAGCTGAGGGGATAGTGAGGGCAGGGTAGTCCTGCCTCCACAGTAACCTAACCTTAATACTACAAAGAATTTAAAATTAAAGTTAATCAAATGATTACCCTTTACCATAAATTATGTTCAATGCTTCTTATAGAAAAAGGTTACAATATTTCAATTCTGCAGAAGACATCCCCTTACTGCGTTGAGGGGACTACTAAGCTAAACTTGTATTCAATTACAGAGTTAGTATCCTTGAAGTCTGAATTACTATTCTTCAAGTTGTTAGTATATTAAATCCTAGCCTATAAGTTCTAAACTACAAAGATACATTCTCAAGGTCTTGAGGAGGGCAGCTAATTGGGAATTATATTCAATTATAGTATCAGTATTCTTAAAGTATTGATTACTTTGCTTGCCGTTCATTGTATATTAAATCTCAGTCTGCAAGTTCTCAACATAGGAAACTAAGGAGATACATCCTCAAGGTCTTGAGGAGGGCAGCTAGTAATATCGTACGGTATCCAGACTACCGGTACAAGTACAGCGGCGACAAGAAAGTCGTGGGACACTAGTGGAAATACCTACTTACTATAGGTTTACAAATGTCTCCAATGTTTGACCATTTGCTAAACCAAACCCTTTCCACAGCTGGTTCTTTGCTCAACCCTGCAATAGGAACCACCTTGAAAATAAAACTGCTTCAAACCGCTCTGCTTCTGTGGTTTCATGTTTTTCATTCTTGCTTCAGGTTGGCATTGTGATTCTCATAGGAGTTGGGCAATGAAACTGGTTGCAACGACATGATAATACTCTTCTAACTCTCATGATTTTCCTTGGCGCTTTACTTATTCCGCTGGTGTCCCCCGACTTTCTTGTCGCGGCTGTACGAGTACAAGTACTTGTATACGCGGGAGGCACACTTCACGCGACGCAAAAACAAGCACTGGCTCGCCCGCCCGGCTTCTAACGGGATCACCCCGAGTGGCTGAGTATCATACGCCAAAGTCGTGGCGTAATTAAGGTGTTGGTTGGTCTTGGCACGCTCGGAAGTGAAACGGTCGCGTCCCCCAGCCAAAACAAATGAGAGAGAGATTCCCGCCCCCCTACGCCTCAAATCCGACAACATCGTTATCTCACCTCCCAGCCTCTGGACTAACCGTCAACAATTTTCCCTCCGCCGCCCGTCTGTGGCCTCACAGACCCATATCCCTCCCACCTTCGCTCTTCAATCCACTCTGATTAACCCTTTTGTACGCTACTTTGTTGCAAGAGTAGTTTGTTTTTGTCTTCGGCCATGGATGAAGCGTATGCTTCCCCCGATAGCGACGGCCACGCTTCACTCCCCTCCCCTACCGATACCACATTTGATCTTAATGGTACGATACCCCCCTCTAAACATAACTTTGACACTCAAGGAACCTCCGTAACGGTTAATAGATTTACCCCTCAAGCGGCGGGGGAGAAAAGGTGAACATGAACCGATCATTATTTCATCCTCCTTTCTCCACACGGAAGAAGATTCCGACGATGACGGTTATATCCCAAAACCAAAAACCGACAAGAACGATGCGGACTCAATGCAATCCTCGCCCCCCGGCATGGAAAACCGTTCTAATATCCTTGCGCCTGTTGACGCCAATGATCCAAACTCACAAAGACGACAGACAAGAAATGTTTCAGGTTCACTGCTGGCGCAAGAAGGGCCGAACGAGAACACTGATCCGGAGGGGAACGGTGTGGGTGGTAAAACGGCAGCGGACGGCAAGTCTGAGCCTGCGCGCGAGTCTAGTAACGGTTACGGACCTCCGGATCCCATTGTGGTCAAGAAGTATCGAGGTGGGGCTTCAGTTCACAGGGAAGATTCTACAAGACATGGCGCCCACTCCCCGCAAGGCACACAGTCGCCGGAAAGTGGCTCTAGCGCCCCCGAGGAGGGCGACTCCACTGTAATCTCTAAAATTCAAGATGCAAGTTCAGATTCGAGATCTTTAATACCCGTGCCTATTGCCGGCTCCTCTAGACGAATCGGCTTGCGGAGAGCCCGGGGCAGCCCGGATAAGATAGCCGCATCTTCTCCGGTACCCCCGTCCTCCGAACAGGGCACCCCAAGCCCATCTCAACTCCTGGACTATCGGCAGTGGCTCAATTCGGACGAATATTGCGATGATTCTATCGATGGTAGTGACCGCGAAGAATGCTCGGCCCGTACTGCCCGGGTCCGCGGTTCACAGGCTGATGCTTTTGCTGGAGAGTCTGGGTTTGTCGGGGGGGACGAAGCGTCATTTATCAGTGGAAAAGACATTGAATTTACCAGTGACGAGATTGAGATTTTGGGCGAAGAGTTTTCCAGGAATTCTCCATTTGCCCGTAGGGCCCTTCTTGGGCCGCTGCGGCTCCCCGAAGAGGTGGTGCGCGAGAATGCCGAGCACGACTTGAGCCTGGTATCGTCAATCCCAGAGGAACTGCCTGCATCCCCAGATTCATCAAAGTTTTCGGACAGACCACATGAAAGCCCGGCAATGGAATCAAATGAGAGCACGAGACTCGATAACCCCCGTCCCGGGACTTCAACAGGGAGCAGCGAAAAAACCGAACATTCAACAGAAGGCTCCACAGAAAGTAATACAGGCTTGACAGGAATAGGACCTATTAATCCTGGGTACGGTGGACTCAGCTCCGGGAGTGATAAGTCGGCATTAATCGGGCCCGCCGAGTCCATGGATTCATCCCAATCTCCGGGAGATCATATATCTAAGAGCGTGCCAGATTACACTTCACAATTAAACCCCCCGACGACAATCTCGCTTGTAGTGAAGGGGGGTTCAAGCAGCTCCACCACACAATCCACTTCCAACCAATCTGCTCTTCGGCCTCCCGCTCAGAAGGAGAATTCGTCGGAGCCATCCTGCAGCGAATCTGCGGTTCTTGGACCAGGCTCTATGCCCAGGTCTACTCCAGTTACCAATACTGGAGCATCCCAGCAGGTAGGCCCCTCCAGGGACTCAAGCCCTAGCTCGGGCAAAGCAGTGATACAGGATAGCGATCCCGAGGCACCATCAATACGATTATCTCGCTCATCCTCACCATCGCTCGGGCCCGCCGAGTTTTGCCAGACTGGCGGCGACGATCCATTCCCCGAGACAACTGCAAGGAACATCTCCAGTTTTCAAGCAGACTTTTCCCATTCAAAAATCTATTCGGCGGCGCTCATTGCTACCTCCACTCCCAGGAATAGGTACGAACCCGACTACGTGACAAAACTTAAGCAGGGCGGCAACGTTCGTCGGGTTTCCATGAATACCCCTCCTTCAGCATCTCCGAAATCCATATCCGCAACCGAAGTGCTCGCTCACAGCCCAAGATTCTCATCCTTGGGTAGTGGGTTCGATTTTCCCACAGAACCATTGAGATTGTCCAATTGGGACTCCCCTGATGCCTCATTGGAGTTTTCCCCTATATTGCCAATCGACAGGTCCCACAGGAGCAATGGCGACGAACCTCCACCAAATACAGCCAATCTTACACCCACACCCCACGTTGTTGGTGGCAAGGGGAGAACTAGGAGTAGGAGTGTTCCGGTAGATTCCACGAAAGGGAATGTCCAAGAAAAGCGCCTGTTCGATCCGGGGAGGCTTGGAGAAAACGTTCCCGAAGAAATCACGTATTTATTCATTTCCGCCTAAATATCCAATGTCCGTGAATACTTACCGATTATAGTGAAAAACCGACGCTACCGCCAAGCCCAAGTTTTGCACAGTCAACCCCCTCCAACATAAACCGTGGGTCGCGCTCCCGAGGAGGAGACGACGAGACAAGAGATTCATTTGAGTAAGTCTTCCGTGTCGGCGGCTTCTGTCTATTAGGATATGAGTTGATCGTGTGTCCCAGCGATGACGGAAACCGTAGAGGTATATGGTCGGAATTCTCTGAGGATCTAAGCTTCCGACCAGAAGCCGATGCCCCGGAGACAGTTGGGGCTAACCCCGAGACTCGGAGCCTGAACTTTGGCGATGACCTGTACCAGCTTGATATCCCACACTCTGTCGGGGAAGACACCAAAGATTCAAGTCATGAAGATGATTCCAGCCAGCCCAGCCGGGCGTTGCTTTCCCCGATGTCACGGCCTGAGGTGCTCGGCGACGAATTGCTAAAGCTTCTCCAAAACGGCAATATCAATTCCGAGCAGCCCGAAGGCCAATCCGAAAGCATGAGCATGCCTACAATAGGGCAGGGCAGCACCCTAGGACAAAGCCTGCCCTCAGGAACTAGGCCGGAGGTACTTCAAGCGAAAATTACCCAGCTTGAAGGTGTAGTCAAACTCCTAAGTAAGCTCGAACAAGAACATCGACTGGCCAGACAAGAACAAGAAACACTTGTTTTCCATTGGAAAAACCAACACACAGAAGTCCACCAAACCGTTCAAGTTTTGGAAGGCTGTGTCGAGAGACTTGAAAAAGAGGTCCGGAAAAACATGGAAGAGCGAGAGGCCCAAGCGAAGAGCCATTCTGCCATGGTTGACAAGATGAGCATGGAGCACCAGGAGGAGGTCCTGAAGCACAGGCAACAGGCATCAATGAGTTTGGAGGAACGCATCAAGTACTATGAGGAGAGATATAAGCAGCACCAGAAGGAAGCAGAAGAAAAGGATCGCACGGTGGCCCATCTTAGGCAAGCCCTGGAAATGAGCGCCCATAATTTACAGCAAGCGGAAGGGGTGGGAAGCGATCAGCAACTCCGCAACGTCATAATCCAGCTCGAAGACAGGCTAAAGAACGCTGAAGAGTCACATCGCGCGGAATTAGAGGTGATAGAAGCGAAATATACGAATATTCTGGAGGAACGAGGCGCATTGGTAAAGCACCTACAAGCGGAACTCGACGAGATGGTGAATCTCATGCCCGTCGATCACGGTTCGTCCAGAATGATCGAGGAGGAGGAAGCCGACGAATGGCTCGAGGAAAAGTCTCGAGAGATTAGCCAATACTACGACGACGGCCTCGCCCAGATTATCACTGAACTGCATGGAGGCGGCGAAAGGGAGGACTTTGACGAGGCTGCTGAGGAGGCAGAAATGAGTCTAAGACGTGTGGCCGAAGAAGCCGGGTTGGATGAGCCACTCGACAAAGCTACCCTCGCAGCATTCGGGATCAGACAATTGAGGACTGAATATGTATTGTTGAAACGACTGTTGATCGAGAGTGAAGGGCGTGTCAAGGAGCTAATGCAAGCCAACGACGAGATGGGCAGACGCGGAGAGCAGATGAGGAGTAAAGTCGGAGTCCTGGAAGGCGAAAAAGAGGCTATCAAACGCACCGTTGCGGAAGCAGAAGAGAAAGCCAAGAAGCATTCCGAAGAGCTCGAAGCACTCAAAGCGAAGCTGGCGGAGATGGAAAAGCGGATCAGGCAACTGACCCTAGAGAAGGGCGAGCTAAGCAAAAAGAACCGTGACCTCGAAGATCGAGCTAAAGCTCTAGAAGGCGATAAATCATCCCTCCAGCGACTGGTCAGCGACACCAAGCGTCTCAACGAAATCCTCAAAACCCAGCACTCGGAAGAAGAAAAGCGAGCTCAGTCCTTTGAAGAAGAAATCCTAGGCCTCCGCCGCCAACTGGCCGAGGAAAACGAGCACGTCGGCGTGATTGAGACCGAAACGCTGTCCCTCCGGCAGCAAATGACAGAATTGGAAGAAAGTAGCGCTCTCCTGGAAAAGTCCAAACAAGATCTCGAAGCCCGTGTCAAGCGGATACCAAGCCTAGAAAAGGAAATCCGTTTCCTGGAGTCCAAACTCGCAGACCTTGAGACCGCCGGCAACGAAGGCGGAAGCGAGGATTTGGAGGCACTATCTCGCCAACTGCAATCTTTGGAAGAAAAGCTCCGCCTCTCAAACGACCAGCACCAGATCTCAACCTCCACAGTAGCCCACCTCCAGCAAACCCTCTCCACGACCGAGCTCGCCACCCGCAAACTTACCAAGGAAAAGGAATGCCTGAAGAAAGACCTCGACAAAGCGGCCCAGGAGTCTAAAGCCTCCCGCATCCGCTTCGCCCAACTCCTCCACGACACGGCGGAGAAGGAAGCGAAATGGAATGCCTCACGACAAGCCCAAGACTCGCAATCGCACCGCCAAACGGCCGCGTTCGAAGACCTCCTGTCGGAAATCTACGACGAGGAGATACTAGCACAGGTTGGCGGTGATAAGATGGCTATGCTCCGCGAGGTTCTCGAGCGCAAGGGAAGAGCAGCGGGTGAGAGCGAGGAGAAGGTCAGAAGGTATAAAGCCGCCGCCAAGAAGTGGGCCAATGAGTGCGAGAGGAACAAAGGCAGGATCGAAGAGCTAGTGGCGGAGGTGAAGGAGTTGGGATTGAGGTTGAAGGCGGAGAAGAAGAGCTGTGATGAAAAGATGGGGCAGCTGATTCTTGCGCTGAGGAGGGAATAGATTGATGGTGCGGAACGAAGGGGGAGGGAGGGAGATGCTATTACCGAGTAGTGTATTTTTTTTATTTCCTTCACCGTTTCCTTTCTTCTTTTTTCATTGCGCGATCGGAAGGGTTGGGGCGGGGATTTGGAGTATAGGTTCTGCTTTTTTTCCCTTTTTCCTTTTCCTCTTTTCTTTCTTGACCATACCAGTGTTAATGCTTGAGTTTAACTTATCAGTGTATATTCTAGTGTGTATTATTATGGAAAAAACCCTGAAAAACCCCTCAAGGCTGGAATGGAATTGGAAGGGTTTTCTTTTTTCTTTTCCCTTTTTCTTCCTTCCTTTCCCGTCTGTTTTATTATCACGAGGTTCTTGCTGCGGGTTATTAGGATGAAATAGATATCGTGGGTTTGGGTGCACAAATAAAGTACTAGGACAAAAGGGATCGTCCGATGCCCTTTTTTACACCAAAAGTACCCATCTTCACCACCCTCTCCCACCACACAATATCTATGAGAACCTGTGCAAATTTGTCCATGCATTAGTAAACCTGTAGATAACATGAAAAATATCACAGAATCCTTAAATATTATAAAGTGATGGAGAAAAGGTTGTTTAAGTTTCTGGTATGAGTTGCAGGCTGTACTTTTATGTATGAAGCCCCATACAAAGATTTAGGTCACTTTCACACTGGTTGATGCAATCATAAACAATGAAGACAGCTTTGATTCCTTACACTTCTACTTGCAGAGGTTGGAATAGATGGTAATTCCCTAGCTGATGAAATGATTTGAAGTGCTTTCATATAAGCAGCGTTGAGAATTGTCCATTTTTGGTGTGAAAAGGGCATCGGACGATCCCTTTTGTCCCTGTACCGTACTGTAGCAAGGACACGGTGTTGTGCTAGTGTGATGTATGATAGCACACGTTGCTGGATTAGTAGGTGCTCGTGCACTATCAAATTACCGTACAATACCGGTACTCGAGTGAGTTACGGTGCCCTCGCACCATATTCGCGTAGTGTCGGTCGAGAAGAGCAACACCACACCTCACTCGGGTGGAGTCCAACGCCCAAATGTGACACAATGCAATATATGGTAGCGGTAAATAAATGAACAAGTAGCGAACAGGTGATTCCCCGATCATCGCAACACCATCCCAAACCACACGAATGGGAACCTCGCGATGCAAGCACTGGTAAGCCGTTGCGATGGCGAGATTGCCCGTCGTCATATTTAGTGGCCTTATCGATGCATAAAACTCTATCAGGCTCACCACCCAAGTTAACCTCGCTACACCAGACCTAACATGCGGCATCATAGTCTAGCACAATATACTCGTAACCCCTTGGCGGGCCGACATGAGCCCACATCTGGCCCCACGACAACCTGGAAAATTCGGTATCATACGGTGCCGCATGCATGGCATGAGGACGGCAACCTCCTACTCGTACAGGCTCACTCACCCCTTTCTTTCCCGTTATGCAAGGGTTCACAGGAACCGCCCGCCAAGGCCTCATCCCGCGCCGTCCTGCGAAAAGGGCACCGTCAGCGACAAAAGTTGCTGCGGCTCAACAGAAAAAAAAGAAAAAAGGGAAAAAGGAAAAGAAGGACAATGAGCTCACTCACCCCTGAAAGTAAAATAAAAATGGTTCCCTTGCGAGAGAGAGAGGGATTGGCCCACACCCGATGTATATAAGCTAGCTCTTCCGTTCCGCTCGTCGCCTTCGCAGACATCATATCAGACATATCGATTGAGAGGGGGTCCAATAGTTTGAAATACGTACGGGGCTCTCAACCTTCATTCATGCACCGATAGCGAGAAATGTCAAAAACGAGTACCAGTGCTAGCAAGCCTTGGGGAACCAACGTGGCCGTCATAGTGAATGACTTTGGAGGAGCTTTTTGTATGGGTGTTTGTTACCCCCCCCCCCTCCCTCTCCTCCCCCTTTCACGATGGCTAGCTAATCGAGCGGTATTTCATGATAGGCTATCGGCGGCGGCATCTGGCATGGAGCTCGAGCTTTCAGAAGTGTTCATTACCCTCACCCACATACTGCCCTAACCTTACGCGGCCGCTAACAGGCAACACGATAGGGCAACACCACACTCTCCGTCCTCCAAACGATAAAATCCCGAGCCCCGGTTTCCGGCGGAAGCTTTGGTATATGGGGTGGGCTATATTCCGCGTTTGAATGCGGGTTGAAAGGGGTTAGGAACACGGAGGATCCCCTCAATGCTGGTCACTCGCCCCTCATCTTCGGTGGGAATCCAAGTTGCTGACGGGCTGCTAGTGTTGTCCGGATTCCTGACTGGTGGAACACTGGCGCTGCGTAGGGGTGTTAGAATTGCGAGCGGGAGTGCGGTTGGGGGCGCGGCCTTGTTGGCTACTATTGAGGGGGTTGGGGTTGGTCTGGATAGGATTGCGGTCTTGGGGGTGTTGGGTGGTGGTGCTAGTGCGGGTGCGGCGGGAGGGCTGTTGAAGGAGGTCGCCGCCCCCGAGAATTTTACCTTTTGTTAATGGGGTGGGAAATTGGGTCGGTATTGTTGGATTTTGATTGGATTTCTTCGGATATTTTGCTTTGCATCGGATTATAGATGGGATGGATGGATAGATGGGGTTCTTATAGATTATAGCGAGCATTAGGACTGTATTTTAATCTTGGAACGTAATTCTCTGTAATTAGATCCGCAAGGATAGATGAGGGTAGCCATCGGACGTGTCTTACAGTTGTGTTTAGTTGAATACTGTGTCGGCCACGAAGAATCCCGACTCCACGGATCTCGAGACAATGGTTGCTAAAGTGCATGAGACCAGCGGGAAGTCAGGAAAACCGATAAACACTTTCGAACCTCTAAATAGTACAGGTAAAGTTCCTGTAAACAAGCAACGGTTCTCAATTCTTCATGCTTACCAGGAAGGAGGGAGGAGTTATACCATCTGTACAACATTCAATTCAATAAGGGCATAGCAAACAACGACGGTTCTCACCAAATTTAGTGGGTCGTCACGTCTTCCCTCACGGGAGTAGCATCACTGCTTCAGGTCCCTTATGAAGCGCTCTTCAGGCTATCGGCGCTTGAAATTCAAGGATTGGCGGGCCCAGAATAAGTTGAGGGTGACAACTCATGAACCCAGCAACAACGCTTAGTCATCCACTTAACGCGTCAAACTCCTCGTCTCGTGCTCTCGCGTCTCAAACCAGGCTGACAAACGGCATTGGCAACCGGCATCCTCAACGTCAACACCACCTCCACGCTATTACCGTGCTAGAAGGGCCACTACTACCACAATGTCTTCACCAACTACTTCTCAACCAGCGTTGGCTGAAACCTCTGCTATGCCCAAAAGATTACCCCCTTCCCCTGGCATTTCTGCGGACGACCCGCTTGCTTCCCATCTCTCATCCCTCCTTCCTGCTATCCTCTCCCTAAAACTCTACCACATCTCCACTCCGCCTTCCCGCCATTTCCCCCTCTTCAGCTCACCGCCGGGCCGAGATCCGCACCGCACGACCCTCGAATCGCACTTCCTTGTACTGTCCCACGAAAACGTCCTGGTCTTCGCGATAGAGGTCCTAATCTACACCATCCCCAGGCAACACACCCGCACCTTCTTCGTCTCGAAAGCCGATAGCAGCGGCTACCTTCCTTCAAATGTCTCCTCGTTTACCACCGAAGCGGGGGAGCGAAAGTCTACCTTGCGTACCATTTCGACGGCTTTCATTAAATACCTTTTCGACACCGCGAGGAGGGCGGATCCGCACTTGACGGCTACGATATCCCTCTTTGCGAGGAGCCAGTCGCAATACTTGTTTCCGAACTCGGCGGAGAATGATAGGAAGCATGTTCTGACGGACCAAGGGTTGATTGCCTGGTGGGGGAAGGTGCTTGATCCTGTCTTACAGGAGTATGCGTCGAGCGGCGGAAAGGGCTACTTGCTCGTTCCCGGATTTGATGCCGGACAGACTCGGTCCATGATCCCTGGTGTCGCTGACGGTGGGGTGAAGTGGACCAACGGACACCCGTTCAAGTTGAATCTCGACAACGACGTTTCCGTTCGAGAGGTGATACCTCACTTCCCGGATGATCCCAAGGCAAGGTATTTGGATGAGTTGAATGGTGTGGCTGGATCTAAGGATTCTGGAATTGGTGGAGGTGGGAAGGTTAAGGAGCGCGCGGCAGGTTGGAGAGACATCAAAACTATTGAGCAGTTCTGGGAGTTGATGAGTTTTCGTCAGGAGTGCTCGCTTGGTCGGTGTGTCGGGTTCTTGTGGCTTGTCGTTGAGGGGATCAAGAAGGAGCGGAGGATGACTTGTGCTGGGCTGGGCGGGGAAGGAGTTCCGGAAGATGAAGTTGTGCTTTCACCGACCTCCGCTACTGGCTTGACCTTCTCGGAGAACATCCTCGGCATGGCTGCTACCGCCAGCAGCGGCAGCAGTAGCAGCCAGGAGATGTCACCAATCGAGAGTATTGGCCCCCTTGACTCCATTACCACCTCACTGCCCCCACCAATGGATACACCGACCCCAGCGCCAACCCCTCCCTCCCAACCCTCCTCCCCACGAAAACGCCGCACTTCCTCTACCGCCTCCTTCCAAACTTCAAAAAAGAAGCTGCGAGCGTTAAGCTTTTCATCCACTACTACCACTTCCACCGCTACACCACTTATCCCTTCGCTCCTAACCCTCGATGAAAAAGCGTACGCAAAGACTATTGATAGCTTGCTAAACCACTCTGATTTCGGCGATATAGTGAGTGCAAAGAGGGGGAGTAGAAAGTGGATTGAGAGTGTGCAGCCTGGCGCTGCGGAGAAGGGGGATTGGGGAGTTGGTATCGTCGGGCAGGTGAAGGCGATAGAGAATGCTAAGGAGGAGAATGGGCAAGGGGCTGGGACCAGGAATGTAGCGGTGAATACACTCTCCGCGGGGCTGGTTAGGAGAAAAAGCAGCACACCGAGCAACGGCGTGAACCTCCTCGGCGCTGGACTAGTGAGGAAGAAGTCGAAAGTTGCGGAGGACGGGAAATTACCGGGCGTGAGCGAGGAGCAGAAGCAGAATGGCGTGAACATGCTCCCGACAAATCTTGTCCGGAAGAAGCCGAAGGTTGGTGAATGAGTGATTTGGCTTATGACCGATGATGGGAATAGAGCGGTGTGGGGGAGGGTATTTGCAGTTTTTCCCTTCTTTTTTTTTTTTTTTTTCATTTTCGTTCGTATCTCTCTTACTGAAGATCTTTGGGATGGGGGGGTTTTTTTTTAATTTTTTTTTTACAGCATTTCTACCAGTGTTTGAAAAGTGTTTTGGTTATTATTCTATTGTGGCGATCGTGGGATATGGATATGGATTTCAGATATTGGAAGGGGGAGGGGGTGGGGGTGCTAAGGCATTGGGGATTTTTTTTCTTTTTTTCTTTTTCTCTTTCTTCATTAATTATTGCTATATACCGAGCTGGCACGGTTTGATGAGGATGACGTTATGAATAATTTACGTTGTGATATTTCACTTTTTTTTTTCTTTTTCCCCTGCGGTATGTATGATGGGTTGAATTATGATAATATTATGATACCTTGTTGCTGCAGCTGGTTCGGCAGTCATAGTGTATCACTCGATGAGTTATTCCAGGGTCAATGATAATTATGATATTTACTATTCTATGTAGGAGTGCTGCTCTCTATGCCCCGCTCTCCCATTCGGTGAAAAAAAGTTCTCTCATACCAATCAATCAACAACAACAGCAACAACGGGAGTCATTTAGATGACTGCCCTTCGCATATACCGGTACCTCTAACTCTAACTCTAGTGTGATAAATTTGTGATGCTAATAGCCAGAAAGAGGGAAAGAAAGAAAGAGCATCGGGGAGCTGGTCGGTGGGTTCGTGTTGAGGGGTAACATAAACACGACGAGAAAAAGTCTGCGAAAGTGTGCCACCTACATATCACAAACATGATAATGAGAAAGGGTGGATTCGGATTCTTCTCCTTCTAGCGACGTTATCGGTATCGGTGTGGCTCGGGATGTGGATGTGGTGGGTATCACAAGTGGTGTAATTCCGGCTTTTTTTTCTTCTTTCATTTTTTTCATGATGTTCTGTTAACTGTCCCTTAGGAATTTGGGAATTGGATTGAGTTGGGTTGAGTTGAGTTGGGTTGGGTTGGGTTGGGTGTCGATAGTGGTATGATAGTATTTTCTGGATGGCATCCTGCATCTATGATGATCCCGCCGAATCGGAACTGGAATTTCGCGACTGGGTCAAGTGCGTTTGGTCGATTGGCCCGTTTGTATGATATTTTGAGTGGTATCTGCTGCTCTACTGTTCTCCCCTACTCTTTTTTTTTCTTTTCTTTTTCCGCCTTCGTTCGGGTGCTACTGCACTCTGGTAGTTAGCCATTTCCTGGGCTTTACTTTTTTTTTTTTTTTTAATTTTTTTACTTGTTGCTATTTGCTGTTTCTCTCCCTCCTGCTGGGATCTGTATGTTTTGTGGTTGTTGGGGGTGTTTGGCGGAGGAAAGTTGGGTTGGTTGCGGATAGGTGTGTCCGGGGAGACGTGATTGTCGGTATTGGTAAATTGGTGTTGTAGGTTGCATGTCTCTCTCCCTTCCCGGTGCTCACTTTTCCTTGTGCTGGACGGTATATCCATCTCTCCGGCGTTATTACTCCTGCTACAGATGCGTATATCTCCCGAAGAGCACTATTAATATGGGGGTAAGGGGGGGGGGGGCAAATGTCGATCGAATTGAATAGAAAACTGGGAGAGGAAGGATGCGGCCAAGGTTTTGTATTCTGACGACCCGTTATGATAGAGATTACATGTAAAGGAAGACTAGTACAGGAAAAAAAAAACCCCCCCAAGATCTAGATACTCACCCATCCCAACCCCAACCAACCAACCGACCGACCAACCAATTCATCCCTTCTCTCTCATTCACCACTCTTCCAATTACCAGGCGGCCAAGTGAGTGAGCAAGTGAGTGAATAATATCCGCCGAGTGTCCAAAAAACCACTTATTATATATATGATACTACGCCGTGCAAATCGCAGCATGTCACACCTCACGACCGGGAGTATTTTCTTCCAACAAATGAATAACTATCATACCTCTGCTCACAGCACAAAAGCGATTCACGGGTAAAGGAAAAGAGCAAGTTTTCGGAACGCCCTCACGCCCAATTCCGATCCGATCCGAGCCTCGCGAGTTTCCTCCAAGCGATTTTGAATCCAGCGCATCCAGGCCGTGGATGGATGTCGTGCATACCGTTCCTGCGAGCATTAAGCCTATGGATCTAGCTATCGAGCGCTACTCCCACAGAGTGACGTTCCCGTCGGAAAATGGCCCGAAACGCCTGTACGATATCGGTTCCGGTCGGTGTTGGGGGCATCACGGCGTGTGAGGGTAATTGATCAGATTTTTGAAGTGTTTTCGCTGGGTAAAGGGCAAGAGGTAAAAAAACAAGAGAGAGGAATAAGGAGCAGTACTGTACTGTACATATGGAGGGTAATTGAGCATAGGGATCTCCAGAACCAAATTTCCTGAAATAGTGCCTTTTAATTTACCCTTTGCAGACAGGGGCATCTGGCATTACTAATGTGCAACTTACCTTGGTGTGATACACGATTTATAATGGCCGCTTTACGCTAACTTGCAACCTGTGGCTTGTGCGGCGTGACACCTGCGATTAAGCCCGGGAAAAACTTGGGGGCAGGGAAGCCTTGAACAGAGTGAGGCACTGGGAATTGGTGACTATCCGGCACCCGGAGCGGATGACGCTCTACATTGAATTGGGCTGTTCTCGTGTCGATCGCGGTTGATCCTTGCCTGCGTCAGTAAATTTATATCGCGGTCAACCGTCCTACGTACCGTAGCAACACACGGGTGGGCTAGGAAAGCAAACTTTCAATCATTGACACATCCAGCCCCTCAATATCACATTCATCACATCACGAAATGGGCTGGAAAATTATTACAAAGGAACTAATCTCATTGTCGGTAAAAAAATCATAGCCATGAAAAACAGTACCAGAGTAATTTAAAGCACAGTCGAATCCCGACTGCCGGCCTTGACATCATCATCATACCATAGACAGGCCCGACAGTCATGTTTGTTGTAGACATATTTTGTTTGCAAAAGTTAACTTTGTCAATGCACTAAGATCACTTTCCGAAGCACTCAAGGTAAAGCAAAATGAAAAAGAAAGTAGAAAGAAACCAGTTCCGGACAAGGGGTGTGATAATAGTGACAAAGTAGACAAACAGATAGATAGCTCATAGAGCAAGTACTAGGTCATCCCACATTAATTGAGGGGAAGACTCATTTCAAGATTTTCAACGGCGGGCCGGGTATCTGATCACAGGAGCGGAAAATGGCTCTAATACTCGCCTCCCAGGCGTAGCCGTTACAGTCGCTGTGGGTAAGCTCGCCTGAAGAATAGCCGCTTTCTCCGCCCGCACCTTCGCACAATCAACCAGAACCTGCGCGATATCCTCGTGGCCCATCCAAGAGGCGAGGGCTAAAGGAGTGCGCCCATCTCTGTCCTTTAATTTCATGTTCGTCCTGGGGTCATCACAGAGGATTTGCGCAATTAACCCGAGCTCACGCTCTGCCGCCTTATGTAGTGGAGTTTTTTCCTCGTAGTCAGCGGTGTTGGGATTTGTTAGGATGAGACTCAGGAGGAGCTTAGCTACGGCTGGGTAACTGAGGTCTGCAGCCATGTAAAGCGGAGTCCGGTTGCGGTTGTCTTGGGCGTTAACGTCTACTCTCCCGTCGGCGAGTAACACTTTGATGACTTCTCGCCGGTCGAATCGCACAGCGGAGTGCATGGGGGTCTCTCCGTCTTGGTCTTTTGGATTGGGGTCAGTTCTGGGATGCTCCAGGAGCGCGTAAGCAATGTTTGCGTGGCCGCCATCGGCGGCAGCGTGGAGGGGTGTGCAGCCGGAGAGGTCGGAGGAATTAACGTCGATTCTTCTATGACACAGAAGAAGCCGGAGCACCACCTCATGGTTGTTCTTGGCCGCCATGAGCAGGGGGGTGGTGTACCTGAAGGTCCGTGGGTTAACGTGAATTTTCTTGTTTTTTAATAACAGCTCTACCGCGCCGCCATGTCCTGATTTGGCTGCGAGGTGTAACGGTGTTTCGTCTGCGCGGTCCACCGAGTTAACCTCATCACCTCCTACATTCCCGAGGAGGACCTCAACCATATCCTTATCACCTTTCATGGCCGCGAGTGCCAGTGGAGTGCGGTCGTCAAAGTCCCTTGTGACAGTACTCACACCGCACTTGACCAGTACTGAAACTACTTTTGCGCTCTGGGTAAGAACAGCGTCGTTCAGCAAGCATGCATTCCCATCCAATTTTAAAACACCCCTATCCAGAAGGTTACGAATTGCGTCGATATCTTCCGCCTGAGCAAGGACATAGAGGGCCCGCCTCCCGTACTTTCCAGAGCGGCTACGAAAGATGCTATCGATTAAGGTATGTGAGAGGAGGTATGAAAGACGGCGGTTGGTCCTCAAGAGAGCATTGACCTCTGGCGGGGGGTGATCGCCAGAGACTTGGAGAATCAACTCATTAGGGAGGCTGAGAAAGGGCATTGTAGTGGAGTCGAAGTTGAGGGGCGGATCGAGTTGCGGGGTTTGTACTTTGTTGTTGGGTTCCGGGGGTGGGTAATGATGCCAAGCTTTCTGTTTGGCGCTTGTTTTATCGGGGGCCTGCACCTACCGGAAGGATAAAGGGAATGATGGATTAGCTCACAGAAACTCACTCGCTGGGGTGCCTCAGTTAGATGGGATGTGTACCAAATGTTGCGTATCCACCAGGAGACGAAATTAAAAGCACTCGGGTGTGCAATCGCATGTGGAGGTGATCAAGGGGCCGTTTCTCCCAAGGGGTTTGTTTGCTTTTACTTTTTCGGGGAAAAAGGAGCAAGAAACGAGAAAAGAAGGGCCCACGAGGACAGCCTGCGACTGGCGACAAGCAATGGTGAAATAGATCAGTAAAAAGTTGGTTCCCAATCACTTACTCTGGAGGGTCATGAAGCATGATAAGGTCCACCCTATCAGACTAACCTCTTCCGGAATGTTCCAGAAAATACCCCGCAGCGACGAGACAACCAGCTATTTCCGATTCTGTCTGGTTCCAAGGTTAGCAAGCAACACGATAACCTTTAAAAAGGGCTGTTTGATACTTGGAAGACAGAGTTAAAGGACTTACCCGACGTGCACAAGGATGCTCACGGCGGAAAAATTGGATTGTGGCGTGTTTGCTGCAGGGCCGTGATCCGGGAGATGGTGGTTGTGGTTGTGGTGGTGAGTTGAGTGAGTGGGTGAGTTGGGTGAGCAGGCGAGTAGAAGTTTGGGGACGTGGTGGGTGGTGGATTTTTATGGGCCTCCGACGTAGGCTGTGTTTCTGGGGCCTAGGGGACTGGTTTGCAGACCTTCCGCCCTGACCAACCGAGAGAGATAGCTCTTTGGAAGGAATGAAGGGTAACTGCGGCTATGGGTCAGGGGGGGTTTACTGTTGGTAGGGGGCTTTCCGAAAAATTCCTCTAGTTAATGGCTTGATTAATTTTACCCAAGCAACAGAAGGAAAAAACCCGAACTTCTGTGTTCACCGAATAGGGTTTAATAAATTTAACGCCGGCGATCTAGAAATAGAAGGGGGGTTTCCTAGAGCAGCTAACGCGCACAATTTGTATTCCTAAGCTAGGCAATCGCTCTAACCTGACCGCTGCTCTTATTTAAGAGAGGGGTGTCCTATCATGCCTAGACTACTACTAGAGCCCTCTATCGGCAATATTGGCCGTAGTGATATACCTAGTGATATGGCCACCTCGCCGGGATCAATATGGACCAAACCGCTAGGGGTATCACTTCCTGCACGAATCTCTCAAAGGCCGGTCCATTTATGATAAACCATAAATCTAGGGGGACAAACTCAAGACATTGAGAAACAGAACTTCAGTCCTCGTTCACTCCTACCGGTAGTACCCATGGCTCTCTAATACCGGTACCACTACCGCATGTCTTAACCATCACCTGGGTGCCCTAATTTCTTTGAAACAAGCAGGAAATCACACTTTTCTCTGAAAGCACCTCCAAGACCTCCCTCGTGACGTAGTTTGCCTGCTAGTGTCTCACTTCTGCCATAAATGCATCTTCAAGTGTCGGAGTTTAGCCTCCTCGTGCTACCTGGAAGTTAACAGGATTGTGAGAATCAGTAGAGGTTTGAACATGGGCGGAATATCTGTCTGAGGGCTTTAAAAGGCTGGGCGGTGGGGTTAGTTCTTGATTATTCTTTCTTATCGGTATTGTTACTTTCACTGGATGTCTGATAGTATCAGTGGCTGTGGAGTTTAAGAAATAGAGGTAACTGGGAGCGGTATATATGACACCTCGCCCTGCCACGGGAGTGAAGGTTTGGTCTCCGGGGATCTAAAGGTGCGGGGTTTGTTTTTCCTGGTTTTTTTTCTTTTTCTTTTCTGGATGGGAAGATTGTGTTTAGCGAAACTGGCAGTTAGGCATAGTATCAAGTTTGGTCTGAATTTTAGAAAAAAAAGATCCTAACCGCAGTGATACTTGTATATGGTCTGGAAAAGACTCGTCAGTGCCCATTTAACCAGCAGGAGCCGTCATCACCCAATGTGGTGCCACTCCGGAAATCAGATCGGTAGGAATTCCGAATAAAGCGAGAGACCATGAGGACTCAGGTGAGTCGTGGCACTAGCTGAATAGACAGGCTGATATGATCAAAGGGAATACCGGGGCTGGACATCTATGGGAAAGTGCGGAATGAAATTAGGATTACCAATGTTGGCAGTGTACGAGGCGGTTCCCGGGGGAAAGCTCCCAGAGGAAAACCCAACAATAATCAATGGACATACTATAAAAGGAGACCACAAGGACGAATATCAGCTCGGTGGATGAACCCTCGTGTTTAGGTTCGGCGGTATTTGCTCAGGCAACGTGTTGAAATTGGGCTTTCAGATATGTCCTTGCTACGTCTTAGTGTACGACATCGCTGGTCATTCTCCCTTAGTGTCGGTTCCCTGGTAGTCCCTGAGTTTAACTTACCCCGCTTGGGTTTTTCCTTATATCATCATTACTCAATGTGTCCTGCAGATATGAAATAGTGTGTTCTCATTTACTTCTCTTGCCTTCTATATTGTTTCCTTTTTTTCTTCTCCGCTGCTGATATATGTTGCTGCTTTACAGCATAAATAGCGGGTCCTCTCCAGGACCTGGTGTAGAATTCTCTTTAGAATAACAATCTGAACTTCTCGCTCTCATCTGCCTCCGGTATATGACTTGATCATTGCACCTTTTTCAACACAACGTTGCTTCCTTAAGCGGTTGATATACCGTGACCGAGAAAGCCTCAGGTTCGGAACTGCATGAAACGAAACCTAACCCTGTCATGGGGGTGGTCCGGGGATCGATAAATTGCAGTTGGGGCCAACTTTTCCTTGCGATATGAGCCCGGACTAGCTTGATGGTAAATGAATGCTGTGCTTCCTGTATTTCATGGAGAGTATTCACCGCGCTCTCGTGGCTACCTCATTGCCGCCTTCTGCTGTCGTGTTCTTCATTTCTGGCTGGAGTGGCTAGGATTTCGGGCTCGAATTTCTTCTACCGTACTGTACTGTACCGCCGTGGTGCCACTAAGCGGCATCGGGTCATGGAGACTGATTCGAGAGTATCGATAACGGTCATGATCCTACATTCTGTATAGTAGAAAGGGAAACTGCAGAGTAATAGCATCTCAATACCTTGGTTCTGGTGACTAGAAACTGGAGTAATAGTTGTTGAGAACATCTATCTCAACCCTCCACATCAAATCCATCCTAATTTGTTAATAGAAGCCAACAAGTGAGACGATGTTTAGGGGAGGGCTTTCATAAGTGAAGTGTAGAATGTAGTAAGTTTAGTTGTGATATCTGGCATTTCTAGTTCTGATGATTCATACCGATAGTAACAAAGTGTATCGGAAGGGGTTGGTTAGGAGGACTTATCAAGCTTATCGAGAGGTATACAACCCCTGGTGTGGAAGACGGTATCCAAAATATCAGGAATGGAAGCTACTATACCGTTCTTACTGAAACCATATGACCAAGCCTAAGTTCCTAACACGGCAAATACACCAAACTTGGACGAAAAGCGGGAAAAGTTATGATACCTAGTAGGCTAAGCAGACCGGAAGAGAAACGAGGAGTCTCAAGAGTATCTGAGATGCTGGTTTGAAAAAGGAGAAATATTAGAGTATATCATATACAGGTGTTGAGTTTTGAAGATTAAATAACAATAATTGAACCTAGAGGTTAGGGACTTTGATAAGGGCTCAAAGATCTTTGGGAATTCAGATGATGGAAATGAATAGATAGATCTCGTGTCAAGGTTGCAGACACCTTAACACAAGTAAAGGCTTTTATTGAGTTCCTTTCTTTACATTGAATAAATTTACTCATGAAGACTAATAACCCCTTTACCTGAATTTCTCAATTGCTTTCATGATGGTTTGGAGAAGTGATGATGATTTTTGGAGTGTTTGGGTTTTTATGTCACAACCAAGCGGCCTTATACAGAAATCGCACCCTGAAATAGTTGAAGAAGAAAAAAACACTTTTTACATTTTGTTTCATTGGTATATTTTCTTCTCCGAGGTGTACTCCGCATATTTGAAGCTAAGCTAAGATACTGGTATAATTTGTGGCGGAGATTTTTCTCGCGAGAAAATCGTCCGGGATACTGTGATAGTGTGACCCTAAGAAATATGGGGATATAATGGGTGCGAGGGCATGGCTGGGCGTGAGAGGGGAGAAGGGGTGGTGACTAATGTATCCCATAAATGTCAATTGGATTTACAATATCGATCACTTAGCTAACACTATAATTCTCTGGGTTTTCATTGGAGTAGTTGTGATAGGGATCATAGCATTGAGATAGAAATGAAAAGGGTTGATTTTTGTGCGAGCTGATACCTCGGGTCATCAGGACCCTGCGCTGATAAGTACTGTACTCGAGTAGATGCTGCGATATGGCGGAAGAGTGCTCCGTGTATTATAGTATTAAGGACTCGAGATCGCCTCGTTTAGTATCTGGTGCCAAACCTTTATTATTGGGCGCCACAAGTGAGGCCACTCGCTCAGCGGCGAGGGGCATTAATCGAGTAATAGTTGATGAACACTCTGCAGTATAGAGAGGAGAAGGGAAAAAAGGAAACGACCAAGAGGCTTCAATCAGACCTTTAGTAGAGCGGTAGAAACCTCTCCATTTAGTTAAAAGGCCAATTCAGAGCATTTAAGTATCATACTGCAGTAGTTCCACCTATAGCCCCCCATCTCCGAGTTCCAACACCAAATTCTCACATAGTGCCTAACCCCCCGCCCCAGCTCATCGCGCCAACCTCCCCAGCTCCGCGTGGCCAGAATCCCGCAAGCAATCCTCGACTTCCGATTCAACAACCACCGGAGATATTCCCTCCCTCCCTCCAAATCTATCAGCGCCACAACTCACTCGCAAAACCCAACCACCCTCCCGGGTTCTCTCCTCTAAACCCTCCAACCCTTCTAAGCCCTTCAGTACCCCCCGCCAACACCCATTGCCAGTATTCCCAGAGAGGCGCCTTATCGCAAGGCTTCTGATAAAGCACGAGTAGAAGCCCGAAATTGAGCAAAATGAGGCACGGGAAGAAAAAGAGTTCGTTAAGGAAGCTCATTCTCGATATATCGCTGCGCTGGTCTCGCGTGTGTGTGTGTATTTTTCTTCGTAGTGTTGACAAGATGGAGGTGTGGGAGGAAGGCTGTTATGACATTAGTGTACAGCACGGGTTTGTTTTGTTTTGTCTTATTTTTTTTTTTTTTT